AGGAAGAGAGTTTAAAGATTTTTTTTTTTTAGAATAAAAGGTAAATTTTTGGAAAAATACTTATCTCATTTAATACTTAAAGCCCTTCTGAGGGGTCCTGTTTTGTCCTCTTTCTGCATTTGTGGAAACCAAAAAGTGTAGCTGTGGTTAACACTGACATGGAATTCAAAGACATCCTCTTATGCCAGGTGCCCAAACTCTTACACACCATGTTGAGTTGCATGCCCTTTAATTGCATTTTTTATGAATCCACTCTCTTGAGTGTTTGTGGAATCCATTCATTGGTGCTGAAACCAGGCTCTTGGGAACCGTATTGCCAGTGTTTCATTCTCTTGTAATTTATGTCTGTTTGAAATCTGTCTGTCCATCTTATGTTATGTAAAGATGCTTTGAATCTGGAATGGCTCTTACTGCGTATCATGGGGTAGCTTTGAGTACCTGGTAGTCTCAGAATTTTGATAAGTTCTGGGACTGCTGTTGGTAAACTAAGAAAGTTCTGTATTCACTGATTATACAAGCCAGGAGCAACAACAAGGATTGGCATGGTTACCTAGTATGCATACCTTTCTGGCGTATTGATTTTCTAGAATATTTCTCAAATTTCATATACCTGTGAGCCTTAATCTGGGGGTAAATTGATTTATACTGCTAGACTGCTTGCAATTGAAACAGTACCACTTCTGAGCAATTACCCTTCACAAATAACCATAGCCAGGGTAACCCGGATTGGTATGGATACATTTTCCTTCATCTGTACACCTTTGAATTAGTAAACCAAAGATTAAAACACTAATTTTAAAAAAACTTCTCAGCTTTTTATTGGCTACGTGTATGAACTTCTATGAAACAAAGTAAGTTTATAATTGTTCCCCAGGTTTTGTTGGGGGAGTGGCTTCCTTCCAACTCTCATGAGAAGTAAATACTTCATGTTCCCTCAAGTCACAGTCCTGGGATCCAGCATCCAGGGCCTTTCTGAAATGCACACCTCTCCTGGTGCCTCAGCCACCTTTCTTCTCCTTGGCACCACATATGTTCCCAGTTGAGGAATTTTGTACAGTCACATGCATCATGGTAACGTTTTGGTTAAGGATGGACTGCATGTATGATAATCATAGTACCATATTTATACTGTATCTTTTCTGTGTTGATACACAAGTACTTTGTGTTACAGTTGTCTGCAATATTCAGTACAGTACATGCTGTACGGTTTTGTAGCCTGGGAACAATAGGATATTGCATATCGTCTAGGTGTGTGGCAGGCTATACCTTCTAAGTTTGCCTAGGCACACCGTGATGTTCCCACAATGGTGAAATTTCCTAATGGTACATTTCAGCAAACATTTCTCAGTATGTATCCCTGTTGTTGAGCAACACATGACTGTACTTGCTGTTCCCTACCTGAAACACAGATGAAACTTACATAGCCAAAGCCCTGATTTCCTCAGGGTCTGTTCACGTATTATCAGTGAGTCCTTTTGCCAAAGTATTACGAATAGTTCCCACCCTCACTTTTACCTAATGTTCACCCTTTTCCATGTCTTTTCTGTACCTTTGTCCCCATCCAATATACTCTAAATAGTTCATGTTTCTTATTTTTATTTTTTTGAGACAGAGTCTCGCTCTGTCTCCCAGGCTCTAGTGCACTGGTGTCATCTCAGCTCATCACAACCTCCGCTTCTCAGGTTCAAGCAATTCTTCCACCTCAGCCTCCTGAATAGCCTGGATTACGTATGTGTGCCACCATACCTGGCTATTTTTTTTTTTTTTTTTTTTTGTATTTTTAGTAGAGACAGAGTTTCACCATATTGGCCAGGCTGATCTCGAACTCCTGCCCTTGTGATCTGTCCGCCTTGGCCTCCCAAAGTGCTGGATGACAGGTGTGAGCCACCACACCCGGTCCATGTTTCTTATTTTTTAAATTGCTCTCTCCTCTGGAAGGTAGGTATGTTATTATCATTTATTATAGAATGGTTCCTTGAATTAATAGGTGCATCTGATGAGCCTAAAGAACTAAAACTAAGGTATGTTTTGGGGGAATTAGTGTATTTTCCAAATCATGTTGTGGCCATTGCTGTGGACTGGCAATTTCTGTTCACCCTGTAATGACTGGAAGGCAGCAGTGGGCACCCTGTTCCTTTCGCCAGCGTAGGAATGGAAGTGGGTCCCAGTCCTGATGATAAACATTGAAAGGGAAGACTGTCAGCAACCTCTGGAAAAGATTTCCTCAAGCCTAAGAAACAGAGCAAGAGATGGTCCTTTTGCTTCTGGACATCGCCTTGTCTGAAAAAGAAGCTTGCAGCTCAGGAGCTCTGATTGCCAGCCTAAGGATGAAGCTCGGCCCTGTGAGCCAGCCGCCTCTACACTTCATGTTTAGTTAGATGATAAATTTCCTTCCTGCTCAACCATTGTAAGCTGGCATTTTGTTAAATGCAGCCCCAGGAACATCAGAACTGACACATCTCATGTCATAACCTAATTTTGAAGATTTATTTCATTGCTACATCTTTGCCACTTGTACCTCATAATAAATCCATTTTGAAAACCTTTCCTTTGACTGAATTGAGCTTATAAGCATTTACTTTTCTTGATTTATTGTTGCTTGCTTTATTTTCTCAAATTTTAGAACTAAAATGAGTTTGGGTTGCAAAAAAAAATCTTTTTGGAAATCCTGAAATAAAAGCTATTCTGGCAAATTCTTCCATATGGGTTGTTAAAGCAATTACACTCTAGAACATGTTTTTGTTAAGTTTTAAAAAGTTTATAAAAGTCTAGAGGAGGAGATATACCAATATGATCTCAGCTTCTTTGAAGTTTACAGTATAGTTTATTTTTGTGCTGATTTCATCTCCAGAAATAGCTATGACCAGGTATTAATGATTTTATGATTCACCTGCCACTTTGGACAGGGCAAAAAAACCTCAGTATTTTTTGCGAAGTACTTTTGCTTTCTCCTGTTTTTCATATGTTTTGCAATTTCAATTTTAGAGACAAATAAGTTCAGATTGAGTTAAAGAAAGCTGACTCTCGGGGGCACTGTATGTCAGAATATTGGTATACTAGTAGTATTTGAACACAGCATTAGAATTTTTTTTCAAATGAAACTTCAAAATCATCAAGAATGGGATTTTTAGGCAATTTAAATCTTTATTGGGAAAATATTTCATTGCTTGTATAGCACATGGAACATAGTTTGAGAGCCTGTTACAAGTGAGGTTAGTGAAAGGTGACCCTGTAATTTTTCATCCAGACAATTAGTTTTGAGAGTGAAGTAATTCCAGGACAGCAGACATCAGCTGGGAGTGTCTCAGGCAAGCTAGACTCGTGGCAAACTGAAATGGTGGATGCTCGAGCAGAAATGTGGATCTCTGGTACATAGGAGTAGAGAAATACTGATCCCAGAAATGCTGATGTGAGCACTCAGCTACTGGAGTCCAGCTAAGAAGCCTTGGCCCTGCAGGGAATCTCCACAGTCATTTAGACTTAGCAGTGTAGTTACACCACTGGGTGTATTCAGCCCTTCAGCAAGTGTTCACTGAGCAATTGCTATGTGCCAGGTGTCAGCTGACGTGCTGACAGTGCAAAGATAAATTACTCGATTCTTATGATTCTTAAGCTTTTTCTTATTCATGCAGCAGAACTTGACAATGAATCGTTCCATACCTGTTTCATTAACAGTTGAGGGATGTAAAAATGAAGTGGGAAAAAGGAGGGCAGCCCTAAATTTGAATTTGAAATGTGATCTCCTTTACTTGGCCTTCGTCTCTACCCACTCCTCCCTGAACTTGAACTACAGTTAAGACCTGTGTATAATCCCTTTGCAATCTGTCGTACAGTTAGAGGTAACTTAGGTGTAAAATACAGCTAATTGTATGTGTTGGTGTGAGGTGTACTGGTGGTAAGTTTTGTGTGGAAGTAGTGTTGCAAATGGTAACTAGAGGAAATGGAAGTGATACGGCAGGGTCGTGTGTTTCTGTCTCTGTTTCTTTTAAGGTTTGGGAAGAGGAATGTGTATGTTTTTGTCAATAAGAGAAAAATGGAGAGACCACACTAGTGTGCATACATGAGCTGCACAGAGCTGCTTAAGATTAGAACACTGCTTCTCATGTCACCTTGACCTTCCTGCTGCCCGCAGGCTGTCCATGCACAGAGCATTCCCTTTAGTGACAACGCTTGGTAGGAGATTCTGAATGAGGTCAGGAGGAGTCCAGGATCAGCAAACAGAATCTTCAAACTCTTGAATTGAGCTGTTTTCTAAATAGTTGTATTTAACTGAGGACCTATTTTAATGTTCCACATGTATAATATCAAATAACTTCAAATAATGAACTTAATAGATTTTAGACTGCTCTTCACTTCAAAATCAGTTTTCATGTTAATTTACCCTGATATCTTATTTTCCTTAGGACTTATAAAAGGAAGAAGAACCTTTAAATTTTGATGTATTTTAGCTGTTGTAGAATAATGATTACTTGTAGGGGTTTCCCTTAGAAGATTATAAATAGATATGTATGCTTTCTTTTCCTTTTTAACTATTTTTCTCGTAGAATAAATAGTTTTATCAGTGAAAACATGGAGTGTACCTGAATAACAAAAAGTTCAAGTCCTTCTCAGTTGCCTCATTGCTGAATTCAAACTTTGGGACTTAGGAATTAATTAATCCTGTATGAACACAAAAGGAGCTTGAACTCATATGAAACTTTTGGCAGGTTTAGACGTGACGATTTTAGAGGATCATGAAAATTTAAACAAAGATTTTGGTTTAATTTGAAGTGAAAAGCTAACTTAGACAAAGAGATGTTAAAAGCTCACGTGAAGTTAAAGAGCAAACTATTTCCTACCTCAATTTTTAAGCACATAATTCTAGAAACTATTAATTACTTGCAATAAGTAATTAGCAACATTAATTACTTGTGACATGTTTGAGAATATTATTTTTCCTGGTTTAGTATGTCAGAAAACCCCACAAAACTCAAGTTAACTTTGTGAATAAAAAAATGCAGGACTTAAAGAGAGATCTACTTCAGAGCCAGCAGTCCCACCAGAAGAGGCTGAGCCACACGCTGAGCCCGAGGAGCAGGCTCCCATGGAGACAGGTAAGCTTGTTCTCATCCTTGAGTCTCACCCAGGTGTGCCAGAGCCTGACAGGTATCCTTGTTTACAGAATCATGTTTTACCTGGAATTCACGTTGTTTACAGAATAATTAACTATTTTTTTTTCCTCTTCTGAAATTATATAGTAAACTTAGTTTTTTCTAGTAGAAATCGGCACAGGATAATTTTAATTTTTAACATCTAAGGTAGTTGTTCTTTGTCCAAGACGACACAGGAACATCATGAACTGAAATGTTGTTTCTTGATTCCAATTTCTAGCACTATTGTATTACATTACCTTGAAAGTAAGAATACACACAATTCCACACTAGTGTTATCATTTGGCATGTGATTTAATAGAGTCGATCTAGTGGTTTCTCAGTCTTTTTTATATGAAGGTCTCTATCTTAAAAGACTTTCCAAACCTCCCTGAGGTCATGTATGGAGCTTGGTTTGTGTCTACATGGATTCACAAATCAAGCATCTGTGTAATTACCCCAAAGCCTATGACCTATAGGTAGGAAAGTCATGAAATATTTTAATAAATTAGTAAATCTAATACAATCTCTGAAACTCTGGTTTTCTTATGCCACCTATTGGAAATGTAAGGAACGACACCACATATTTACTGAAAACTTAAGTACTTGATCCAAATGGTACTTTGGCTGATTTTTTCCCTGTGTTCTGGGGAATAATATTTCATTTTCCTTCCTTTAAGGCCAATATGCTGCTGTGAGTTTTGTTAGTTGTTGAGTTTTTAATCCTATGACAATGTACTCTCTCTCATTCCTGTAGAATTGCTATGATTATATCATAGCTCCAGAACAGAGAGTAACTTTTAAAAAGTTTTATAATGTATGTTTGGATATAGCACCTCACATTTTACTTTGTACTAAAAGCCTCTCTTGACCCCCACTTTTTTTATTTGCCACCTGATTCCTCTCCCCTCTAAAATAGCCACACTTTGAGAGAAGAATCCACAGTTACTTTTTTACCTTATTTTTCTTTCATTTTTTTAACCCTTTACACCCTGGCTTCTGCCTCTACCAATCTCCTCCTGAGGAGAGAAGGAGTATTTGCAAAGTCATGGAAAGTTGAAATGGCATGGAGTCCTCACTAAGTTCAAAGCCAGCGCTGGTAGCAGATGATTCTGGAGAAGTATGTGAGGACTCAGTTGTGGAGGTATCATATTCTGCTCCTAGGAACTGAGACTTTCACCTGTATGGGCAAAGGAAGCCATTAGAGAATGAGCAGAATTCACCACCCTCCACTTCTAATAACTCAAATTATATTCTCGTTGGATGGTGATTTCAGCATTTATGAACCTGGGAATCCAGTTAGGAGGCTATCTTAGGCTTTGTGAGAGAGGATGGCAATTGATCGACTATAATTGCATAAGACTGCATATATAAATGGCTTGTGAAATAGAAACATCTATTAAAAATAGGCATTTTTATGCTTTGGAAATGATTTTGTAGTGCGATTAGCATACTATATATTACATTTAAACGTTTCCCTTCCTGAAATCTAAATTAACTTCTGTTTTTGTCATGGAAGATTAGCTCTTAGATGTAACTGATGTCACTGGCATTATCTCACATGCCAGCATTTATGATACCAAGTGTAGTGCTACTTTTATTCACTGAACATAGATTATGTTTACTAGAGAACTATAACAGTATCAGTGTAGTTACAGTTTCTTGCTTATTGTATGATGCAGTTAAATCTGATAATCTCATAAGCACCACAGTGTTTTTGGAATGTCATCGTAATGTTCACTTTTGTAATTTACCTTATTTGAATCTATGAATCTCAGTGTCAGATATGGTTCTCCAAAGCTGAAAGGATTGTCAGTTACCATGTAAGGTATTCTACTGACACTTCCTGAAAAACTTGAGTGAAGGCGGTGGGCCATCTCTGAGTACTGTACTCAGTCCTCACACCTGCAAGAGCGCACTTTCTCCTGTCAGGGAAGATAGGGAGTGGTTGACCAGATTCGTCAATCTGTGTTGACCTTGTCTTCCACATTTCTGTCTTTATTTCCAACTATTTCCCTTTATGAAAGCTTTGTTCTTCCCACTTTATCATTATTGCAAATTTTATTCATTAGAAACTGAAGTCATTTTGTTTTTAATAAGGCTTTTTGTTTAAATAAAAATCTGAACCTGAGTTTTCTTTCTTTAAAAACCTTATTGAAAGTCTTTTAACACTTTAGTCTGTTGACAGAATAAAACGAATTTTACATATCTACCATGTTTTCCAACACAGAACAAAAATGTGGTAAGCTGACAGAGAAAGAATGCATAGTTGCTTGGTCAAATGTGTTCCTTTTAATGTGTATGCACCAATGCCATATTTGAGCGTTAGGAGTTCCATGTAAATGTTTGAACTTTTCTACTTAGCTATGTTTTACAATTATTTTAGAACCCCAGAATATCGAAGATGAAGCAAAAGAACAAATTCAGTCTCTTCTCCAAGAAATGATGCACGCAGAACATGGTATGAATTAAAATCTGCTCCTTGTCTTGAGTTACTAAAATAACACTTAGTTATATAAAATGATTTGGACATTTAAAATTTAAAGGTTAATTGAGTGTTTGTATTTTTTAAAAAGTTTGAATTAAAAGTTAGAGAGCAGGTGTTGTTTTTGAAATAGCACTATAGTTATTTTATTCCACCTCACTGTGGAGGAACTCAGTGCATACGTCTAAGAGAGAACTGGGGGAATAAATGAGAATGAACAAATTGAAAACAGTGACCCATCAGGAGCAGAAGGGGAGGGTGGAGAGGAGGAAAGTGGGACTCAGGCTAGCGTTTAGGCTCATCCAGCTGCTGTCCTCCACCCTCAATTTTGCTTCATGCCTGACTGGTCACCAGAACAAAAACAAACTTTTAATTACATAGGTTGCATTAAGCAGAGAGAAACAAAACAAAACAAAACAAAACATGAGAATATAAAACATTTTCCCAGCACTTAGATTAAAATATTTCTCATGGGGAGCTCTGTGTAGAGGATAATAGTAGTCGAGAAACTAGTGTTTTAAAGTTTTATCAGACTGTTTCTTGAAGCATACCTTGATAAAAACAGAGATCGTGATCCTAAAACGTAATTCATGAAGGGATTTTGGAGTGGGCAGAATGCTCTGGAATCCTGATTGTTTTAATGGTTTGGTGTGATCCAAGGGTGGCTTAAAGGAAAATAAATTATGTTTCTTAAAAACAGACAATGCCCTTTAGTGTAAATTGTTTTTTGCCAGTGGATGCTAGGGGTGTAGGAGCCTGTACCCTTTTATTTCTAGCTTCTTTGCAGCCTGGAACTCATTGGCCTGTATGAGCAAGTTCAGGCTTCCCTTTCTTAATCCTTCCGCCCCCTCTCCCCTAACTTTAACTTAACAGAAGGAAAATGCAGTCTAAATGAATAAGCGACTTAAATATAATAGGGTAAATGTTGTCTTGGCAATAAAACTCAGATGATCTTTAGTGATTACTCAGAAGCACCTGGTGTAGACCTTTGCTAGGCCAGTGCTGGTGGTGAGTGTGTTAAGTAGAGGGCATGTCCCAGAGACAGGAGAGAACCTGAAAGTAGTTCATCATGGCTGGCACGTGGAATACGTAGGTGGAGGGTCATGAGAAAAAGAGTGACTGAAGCCATTGGGGCAGGTATTTAGGAGTGTTGTGCGATTCTGTCTGTAGCCTGAAAAAGGCGCGGAATGGATGCAAGAGTGCAGCTGGGAGACGATGGAGGTTGTGCTGGTAACACAGTGATTCGGGATGGTAGTAAACTTGCCTCAGTTAAAGGAGGGGATGGAGAGAAATAGACCCGTAAGAAGTTTAGGCAGGGGTGGGTGGGCAGCCAGCCAAACGAGGGAAGTAGTCAAGTCTAGCACAGCCTCCTTCTTGCACTTGTTCTTTTCTTTAGTCACATTGAGAAAGTCACATTTATGGCCCATGGCTATAAATATCCTTTGTATGTTGATGACTTCTAAATATATGGCTGTAGCTCTGATTGCTCATCTAAACTCCAGGTCTACTCAACTTGGCATCTCCATTGGGATGTCTTATGGGTGTCTCTGACTTAAAGCAAGCCTGCTGCAGAACTCATGATTCTTCCCACGTCTCACAGCTCCTCCTCACCCCAGTCCTCCCCAAACTGCTTATGTTAGTCTTCCTATTTTAGTCAATGGTCTTCCTACCCTCTTAGTGACTTAACTTGAAAACTCAAGAGTTTTTTTTGATTTCTTTAATTCTCCCCTCACATCTAATCCATCAGCAAGTCCTGTAGGCATTGCCCCCAGCACTGATTTTGGCTCTCTAGGGCCCGGTGTGTCCGTGGCTTCTGGCCATGATGGTTGCAGTAGCACAGGAGCACCCAGCTGGGTCTCACTGTTTCCATACGTGCTCCCCTATAACCTGTTATACTCAATGTGGCCCCGCCAGCCGTGCCTTGTCTAGTTCCAGCCTCTTTTTCCCCTTCAGTGACTTTTCTGTAGCCCAACTGTCCTCTCTTTTTTTTGTAATTGCCAAACCTGTCACTGCTTTGGTGCTCCTGCACCTGGTATGTCTTTTGCTGAGATGTGTTTCCTGTCCCTGCCCAGTCATGTCTCTGACTGAACATAATCTCCCTGCCCCATCTTGGTACATTCACAACAGGATCCAGGTCGTACGTCTGTCATTGATTAGCCATGTGGCTTTTCAAGTTTTTCGTCTTTCAAAGTAGGATACCAGTACCTACCTCATAGGGAGGATATAACAGCTGCAGAGGGCTTGGTCATGCCTAGAGTCTCATGATGTCTCAGGAAATTTTTCATGATAGGCTGTCACTGAGCAGTATAGACTCAAAGGTAGTGTACGATGTTTGACTAGCTTCCCTGCAGAAAACAGGGATACTTCCATTCAACAGCCACATGTGAAAGCTAAATCCTGCTAGTGTAAAAATCATCAGATTGTACTGGATAGAATGAAAGCAGAATAAGGAAATAGGAATATGATAAAAAAGAGAAAAAGAAGTAAAATTTGTAACAAATTGAAATTGGTGATTGGTTTGCTGAATAGCAGAAAATCTGAAATGAGGAAAGCAAAATAGCAAGCTATGAGGAGAAGACAGAAAACAAATAGCATCAACATGAATAAGCCTGCCTGATTCGCTAACACCCGAGAGCATCACCTTGTCACACTAAAGGGAGAGTAACTGAGGAAGGCTTCTTGCAGTCTGGGCTGGGGTTTCGGGGTAGGGGGATTCAGTAGCAGTAGAAGTGGCAATGTTGTCTATTACTGTAATAATGATGATAACATCTAAATAATTAGGCCCAGGCATTTTTCTAAGTGTTTTAATCTTCACAACAATGTTACAAATATGTGTTATTCCCATTTTAGGGGAGGGAAATCTGAGGCACAGGATAGTTAAGTAATTTGCCCACAGTCACGCAGCTGGTATGGAACAGCTTAAGTCTACAGCCTTGCATTCCAGACCCCACACTCCTCCTAATCCCTGAGCTGCACTGCAAAGCCAAGTCCTGCCCATTTACTTTCTTTAGTATTATACACAGGAGATATTCTGCTGGAGGCCAGCTCAAGTTGCATTGGGATGAAACAACCTGTCTTAACTATGTTGCGGTAGAATAATGTAACACGTCCAACCACTACACAAAAGAAGCAGAGCAGCTCAATATTACTATCAGAGAAGCTAATCTCAGAAGAGAAATGGGCATCTTTGCATAACTTAAAGCCTAATAGGAACATTTGGATGCATAGTATGATTTGGTTAAACCTGTGACCTAGCATATAATTTATTTTATTTTTTATTTTTGAGACACAGTCTCACTCTGTCACTGAGGCTGGAGAGCAGTGACAAGATCTTGGCTCACTGCAACTTCCTCTTCCAGGTTTAAGAGATTATCCTTTCTCAGGCTTCGGAGTAGCTGGGATTGCAGGTACTCGCACCACGTCCGGCTAATTTTTGTATTTTTAGCAGAGACGAGGTTTCACCATGTTGGCCAGGCTGGTCTTGAACTCCTGACCCCAAGTGATCTGGCTTGCCTCAGCCTCCCAAAGTGCTGGGATTACAGGTGTGAGCCACCATGCTCCGCCCTAGCATATTCTTTAGATAGGTGGCTAGTCACTCTTTGCTGTAGAATATTTGAATAGTCATTTAAAGTTGTTACCTCAAATTCTATGTCAATTCCCAGGAAAAGCAATATTTGAATAGTCATTTAAAGTTGTTACCTGGATTTCTATGTCAATTCCCAGGAAAAGGCCATACAGTAGCCTTTTCTCTGACATGAGGATAATTAAAGAGGCAAATATATTAGTAATAATTAGGAATTCATTTATTCATTCATCAAATATTTATGGAGTGCTTCCTGTAGCTAGACATGGCCCTAAGTGGCTAGGAATATATAATGAATAAAATATGTAAGCTTCCTGTCCTTGGTGAGTTCACATCCTAATGAGAGGAAACCTGTCCCCCACCACATATACTTAGGCAGATCAGCACTTGGCCAGAGGATGAAAATAACTGTGGACTGGACAGTGGTGTCTGGTCCGCAGTGGCCGAAAGGAGAGGCAGGGGACTGCCCAGCAGCAGGAGCGGGTGTGTGGCGGCCCTTTACAAGGAGCTTTCATGCCTCAGTTGGCTGTTGCCAGTGGGTCTTCGCTATAGACCAGTGGCACTTTGTTCATTGTCATTGTTGAAGGAGAAGACCTGCAACAAGAAGAAGATGGACCAGCAGGAGAACCACAACCAGAGGATGAGGATTTCCTTACGGCGACTGATGTTGGTGATAGATTTGAGACCCTGGAACCTGAAGTGTTTTATGAAGGTAGAATACTTTTTTTCAAGTTTCAGGATAAAATACAATCAATGACTTATAATCACCTAAGTGTCTCTTAAACCCCTTTAAAACTGATATTGAACTTTTGCTTAGATTTTTAAAAGTTGAAGCTTAAAGCTTCAATTAAAGCAAATTTTTTCTTAAAATAGATATATTGATTTTGGTTCAAAGCACTTTTCAAGGAAACAGAATATTCAGAATATACAAATTTCTTATAAATTGTAAACGAAATATTTCAGGAAACTAGTTTTACTATACCTACTTCTGCTTACGGTGCTGTTGGCTAAATGAAAGTCAAACAACTGATAAAATATTAGACTTGATAATCTATCACAGGCTCATGTGTTTGCATGAACTCTGTAATTATAGTGAGCAGAACACAATTCTTAGCTTCTATACCGGGCATTGGCAAACTTTCTTTTGTAAACAGCCAGAGAGTAAATATTTCAGGTTTTCTAGGTTATACAGACTCTCTTCAGCTACTCAACTCTGCTATCACAACATAAAAGCAGCCATGGACAGTTCCTAAGTGGGTCAGTGTGGCTGTGTTTTTATAAAACTAATTTGTAAAATCCTACCCAATGTGGCTGGTAAGTGCACTGGCTTGAACATAGCTCACTCCAGCCTTGACCTCCCTGGCTCAAGCAATCTTCCCAACTCAGCCCCTCGAGTAGCTGGAGTCGCAGGCTTGTGCTACCATCCCTTGCCAATTTTTTTAATTTTTTTGTAGTGGCAAGGTCTCTTTATGTTGCCAAAGCTGGTCTCAAACTCATGGCCTCAAGCAATTCTCCCGCCTCAGCTTCCCAAAGTGTTGGGATTACAGGCATGAGCCATTGTGTGTCCAGTTAGCCAACCATTTTTAAAAGCATAAAAATAATGAAAAGTAGTTTATTTACTTTGCACAATTCAAAATATTTTGGAAAATTACTTAAGAAGCAGGTAGCTTCTACTTTATGAGTACATGTATTTCCAAAAACTTAGTATCCATGTCTATTGTTTAGAGCAGGAAATGCATTTTCACACGAAAATATGGGATGGTTGGGTTTTCAAAAGAATTGTATATAATGCATAATTTCCTGTGAAAAATACAAACACACAATACTTTTGAACATCTATATGATTGATTTTTGCTGCATTATACATTGAAAATAGGCACTCATGGACTAGGTTTAGAACTTTATGCCCTTAGTAGTCATTTATATCATGATTGCTTTGGGACAATGTTTCCAATTTCCGAGTAGGGATACTGATAAAACTATTTTCACATTTCTTGTTGTTTCGTCTCTCCAATCTTTTGCCAACATGGCTCAGCAAGATTGACAGTTGCTCAGAGTTTTTGTATCTAGATGTTGCTTGTACAACAAATTTCAGTTAAGATGCTCAAATAAACAGAAACATGAGGAATTTGATATTCTTAAAGTTAGGAGTCACAGATTGGGAGTAGAAAGAGACACTTCTAGGAAGTTTACAAATCGCAGAAACCCTACTTTCTGATCTGATCTTTAATTGGGACATTGATGCAGTTTGAACTTAAAAGTTGGTTGTTAGAAGTCTTCAGAAAATAAAAATATTCATTCTTTATATGTACATTCAATGAAATTAACAAGGCCATAAGTGTGGTGATGATCATACGATGGCAGCTCTTTTGCTATCTGGGGTGTATGGGTTAAATGTTCAGCACATTTACCCTTCAGCTCTCCAAGGGTATGAAGCCTCTTCCACTGTTTCTCTGTTCCCATCTGTTGATGATAAACTTTTGCTCTAGAAAATGGTAGGACAGGTCCAGGAAATAGCACATTCTAGTGGGATGTGAAGTGGATTCGAGATGCACAGCTTTCCTGGTCCGGCCTGTGTCACTGTGTCACTCTGAGTTGTCCTCTCTCTTTAGAGCAGGGGGTGGTGGTTGCATCCTTGTGGCGTTGAGTGAGTTGAGAAGGAAGAATATGTGAGACATCCCAGAGTGTAGTTCTAGTGAAATATAAAAGTGTTTAGCAGACTTTTAATTGATTGTTCATTTTTTAAAAATAAAATTAATGATAAGCATAAGATTCAGAGTACATATGTAGGATATATACATACTATTTTGTAAAAGCAGTTAAATATCAATCTAATATTTTGTTTTTCAGAAACTGAGCATAGTTACCATGTGGAAGAGACAGGTGAGATTTTAATTTAATACTGTTCTTTCTTAGAGTGAGTCGTCCTTTAAAAGAAGTATATAGTATCTATTATTAATAATATATTTTAAATTAATATGCACAAGATCTGCAATTAATAATTTTATTATATGTCTTATAATTTATGATACTTCTTTGTGAATATACTTTTTGGGTTTTGAAGTCTGTTTCCTGAGGATACATTCTTGGTAGGATTACTAGTTTGAAAGGTAGAATGGAATTGTCTGTCTGTAGCTTTCAATTACAAAGTCAACGAAAAGTCTATATCATGTTTTGTCACGTGCCAGCACCCTAAAAGGGCACGACCACAGGAGTGGACACATCGTCTGTCAGCACTTTACTATTTTGTGGTTCAAATGTAAACCATTTGATGACTGGACCCCCTTATTCATCTTTGCATTTGGCATTTAACACGCTTAATACCCATTTGGTCCAGGAGTGAACATGTTTGAATATCATTATGACTTGATTTTGCATTTCTATCATAACTAGAAATTGTTTCTTTCTGGTTTTGAATATTACATATATTCCTTATTTAAGACATATTTGTAATTTTCTAATTATTCCCTAATTTATAGTTTCACAAGACTATAATCAGGATATGGAAGAGATGATGTCTGAGCAGGAAAATCCAGGTTTGTAAATGTTAAAATTATTGATATGTGTTTTTTGATTGAGGCAGTGGCCAAGGCCGTTTTATTCCAGAACAATTCTGATTCAACACAGAGATCTCTGTATGGCATTTATAATCACTTTTGATTGCTCAGATATTTATAGAAATGTCTGAATATAGTTTAAAACTACATGGACGGATGAGAGAAAAAGGAGATGTATTTTTCAAACCACTGTTGAGATTTTGGTTTTTGTAGGTTGGGTGCTGGAAAGAATATTTGGAAATGGAAGGGGCAGTATGATATAAAGTCAGGCTGGGTGCAAATCCAAGTTCTACTTTTTCCTATCTTTGTGACTTAGACATCAAATTATGCAGTGTTACTCAGCATAAATTTTATGAAATGATAATGAAATAGCTATCTGGCAAAGTTGTGAAGATGATACTTAATTTATGAGTCTCTTATAATGGTGTTTGTTTTTTTTCCTGTTTGGCAAAGTTGTGTTTTTGTTTTTTAGATTCCAGTGAACCAGTAGTAGAAGATGAAAGATTGCACTGTGATACAAATATTAGATGAGCATTTTCATTAGATGTAAAATATGACCTTAGGTTTTTCAATCACATGCTGTGTTTACATGGTGATTTTTCTTTTAAAGGCACCAAAGAAGTAATTTTGACGTCTAATGCATGACATTTGGTTTTATAACAAAGTTAGACTGTTGTAAGAATATCAGGCTTTCATATTTTACCTCATCAACTAACATCCCCTCCATAACAAAAAAGAATGCCAATTTTTAATGCTGCTTTTGTGTATCAAATTCCTCTATGCCAATTTGAGAAATTTTAATGAAAATAATTTACCTGCCCTTTAACTGCTTTTGGGCAGAGGCATTTATTACTGACTCTGCAAACATTAATATTTGGAGAAATAATGTTTACGATTAAGTAGGTTTATTTTTGTTTTAACTAAACAGTTGTATAGAATGACTCATATAATACTTATTTTGCTTTTATTCTCTTTTTTTCAGATGACACAACATACCAAATCCATGAGGAACAAGGTTTGCAAATTATTTCTAACCTTAAGCCACCTCCTTGTTTTAAAATACACCTGTAGTTTGACTATAAAATAGGGAATATTATGCTTTTAACTGTAAACATTGCAATTTAAAATATCCAAATGAATGGTATTGTTCAAAGAATTTACGTGGGGAGACTGTTTACTCATTCCACTGCTTCTGCCATTGCCTAAATAATTTCTTTTTCTTTTCTTTCTTTTTTTTTTTTTTTCCGTTTTATGTTTTGGGGTATATGTGAAGAACATGCAAGATTGTTGCATAGGTACACACATGGCAGTGTGATTTGCTGCCTTCCTCCCCTTCACCTATATCTGACATTTCTCCCCATGCTATCTCTCCCCACCTCCCCACCACCCCATCCCTCCTCCATTTCTCCCCAACAGACCCCAGTGTGTAGTGCTCCCCTCCCTGTGTCCATGTGTTCTCATTGTTCAACACCCACCTATGAGTGAGAATATGTGGTGTTTGATTTTCTGCTCTTGTGTCAGTTTGCTGAGAATAATGGTTTCCAGGTTCATCCATGTCCCTACAAAGGACACGAACTCATCGTTTTTGATGGCTGCATAATATTCCATGGTGTATATGTACCACATTTTCCCTGTCCAGTCTATCATGGATGGGCATTTGGGTTGGTTCCAGGTCTTGGCTATTATAAACAGTGCTGCTATCTAAATAATTTCTTAAATTCTTTACAAGTTGCCTTAGAGACAGTTAGTCATTCAAGAAAACCAGTCTCAGTAATTTATAGTTCTCTCTCTCTTAACAAAAGTATACATGAACAACTGCTTTTGCCAGAGGTAATTACTTTAGCTGCTTCTACAAATGAATTCCACTCTCAAAGGTGACTGATTGGTCACGTTGGAGAAGATCAGGGAGCACGGGGTTCTAGGCTTAAAGGCAGCAGAGAGAAAACAGTTCTGGCAAGTGTGTGTCATCATCAGTATCTGATTCCGTTTGGGTCTGCACCTCCCTTCTCTTGTGTCCAAGCATTGCATGGACTGTTGTGTTGAATATATCCTTTTTATTCCATTATCCTCAAAGATGATTATGTAGAAAGAGAGAAGTCAATTAGGTATAACTTTACATGTAAAGCAAGAAAGATGAAGAAATACATCATAATTGAGCTGGTGGATATGGAGGACTTTCTGTGTTCTAGATAGTTTCAGGGCTTGGAATTCAAATATGAATAACATAGGATCCCTACTTTAAGGAATTTGTGGTGTCATCGTAGATAGTGAATCACAGTTGAAAATTAGGAATTTTTATAAATATGAGTCATATTTATATAATGATTTAAGACTTGAGACCCTACCAAGTTTATATCATCATAGTGGCTATTTCTAATGGGATATAAGTGATGCCGTGGGAAAAATCCTAGGTTGTATCTTTCAGTACTGATAATTTTTATGAAAAGTTAAAGAATTTGAACCTGATGTGTTCACTGGAAGATTTGGGGCAGAGGAGAAGCTGGGGGAATAATTTGGTCTTGAGATTGCACTTAGATTTTCTTTCCAATCTTTAATTTGAAAGAGAAAAAATCGGAATTGAGAAATACAAGTTGCGTGTAATGATGGGATTTGAGATATTTTCCTCATTTCTACTGATCATTATGTTTTAAAAAATATACTGTAAAGGACATATTTGGAATGCACTCTGCAGACTAAATCTAGAGGAATTTAAAGTCAACTTGTAAGAAGTATAAAATTAGATTCTATGCACAAAGAGTATTATACATTTTCATAGGCAGAGTATCATAATAAGAGTAATTTAAAATGTTAACAGAAGGCAGTAAATATGACCTAAGGGATCAACAAGATTGGGTAGGCTACTTTGGATTTCTTTACTATAATAGAACATAAACTGTTTCAGACAAATAGATCTAATTGAACAGAGTATTATATTCTACATGCTAAAACAATACCTTTGTTAAAATTCAGTAATCAGAGTAGGGAAACCAAGTAACTGTCATGTAAGTGAAGCTGTAAGTAGGGTGAAATTTCAGTGGGAGAATAGAATATATTCTATATTAAACTCCCAAACTCCAGAACATACAGTTTGATAGAATTATAGCAGGAACCAGCTTCCACATCAAAGATAACCTAGGAATTCATCAAGGCTACATTGGACAAACCTGGGAAGTGACAGTATGGTCTTACCATGTAATTGACTTATTTATTCTTATACTATTTAGTGTCTTCTGTCCAAAACATAGGACACTGGAGCAGTGTCTCGTGAAGAATACACACATGGTTCCTGTTCTCATGGGATATTATATTTTAGCAGGGGGGTAGAAATTAAACAAGTGATTGCAATGTAGTTTTTATTCCAGGTTGTGATAAGTGCTGGGAAGGACAAGTACAGTGGTAACAAGAATATATAATAGGGTACCTAGTTTGTGGGTGAGGCGAGGCCTTCCCAAAGTTTGAGCTGAAGGTGGGAGCAATTGACAAGGCAAGGGGAAAGGTGGCTGGAGAGTCGTATGAGGTCTCTGAAGTGAACTTGCAAGCATAAGGCTGAGGTGGTGACATGGGCTGGGTTCAGAGGATTCCTGTAGGCGAGGCCACGGATGCTAATTCTTCACCTTCGAGCACTGCAAAGTCAGATCTGCATTTTGAAAAGACTGATCAGTCTGGCATGCAACAAACAGACTGGAGAGACAAGAGTCAATACAGGGAGAACAGTTAAGTTGGCTGTAATCATCCAAATCGGGTCTTTTCCTGCGTCACATCTCTCTCTGCCTGATAAGGAACCAAAGAAGATGAGTGTCAAGAAAGGGATGTTCAGTGGTGCCCTGTGCTACTGAGAGCCATGTGAGATGAGTGCTGAAAACCTGCCCTGATCTGGCGCTGCTATGGCCTCACCAGTGGCCTTACTTGGAACTGTTTCAGTGGATGGATGGGACAGAGATGAGATGATAGTTTAAACCAGGGTGGTGGTAGTGATGGAGGAGAGAAGTGGGCAAAGTTGAGAAACACTTAGAAGGTAAAATTGGCAGGTCTCGATGCATGGGTGTTGCTGCGGGGAGACAAGGTGCCAAGAGCCACACCCACTCTTCTGCTTGTGCAGCCTGATGGCAGCGGGTGCTCTTCTCCTAACACAGGAGAGGCTGGAGACAGGGAACAGAGCAGGAGTTCATGAGTCCAGTTCTGTAAGTGCTGATAGTGAGATTTCTCTGAGGCATCCAAGAGGAGAGATCAAACGAGCCATCTGGTGGTGTTTGACTCTCAGAAGAGAAGTCTGCTTTGTGATTGTGAGTGTGGGGATCATCAGAGTAGTTACATGGACATCAGAACGAAGCTCAAGGAGAGCAGATAGAGGGAGACATGAGGTGGTTCTATGGCTGGACTTTGAAGAAAGCCAGCATTTAATGACTGCCAAGAAAAAGATGAAGTGAAAAAGAAGATTGAGGGGGAGAAATAAAAGACCAAAGGGGAGAGTATGATCACCCTGAAGTCCAGGGGCACTGTGTTTGGAGAAGAATGGTGTTGCGAAATACAGTGAGGGCAGGTGAGTGTCCATCACATCAGATGAGGTGCTGGCGGGGTGTCTCAGCAGGAGCCTTTTCAGGGGTAGGGTCAGTGTACAGAAGACAGGTGGCAGTGAGTTGAGGAGGGGAGTGGAAGAGATGAGCCATGAGATGTAAATGACTCTGAAGAAATTAGATTGTGCAGTGGAAGAAAGAGCGTGAGGAGAAGCAAGCTTGAAAAGTCATGTTGCTTTTTTAGGTCCTTAGAGGCTAGAGCATGTTTAAATGCTGACACTGCTCAGGGTGATACAGTGAGCACACATTCACTGCTCCTTTCTCTTGTAAATCCAGCAAAAGGACAAAACACATTAAACATTGTTCCCTGCTGTACCCCAATACTGAGAATGTCTGAAAGACAGTAGGCGCTCAATAATTTTTCTTTATTAAATGAATAAGAAAGAATAAACTTATAAACATGCTGGGAAAAAGAAGGATGTTTGCTTGTAGTGTGTCAGAAAATTGGAGGTATTTTGGAAGATCAGGTTGACCAAGGAAGCTATGATCCACTGGGCCCTGGAGAGGCCTGCGTGGAGATGAGACTTCTTGCAGCAGAGCAGAGAAGAAGCACTGAGCCTCATGCCAGCTAATGAGGGAGGCAAGGGTGGCGCACCCTTGTCAGGGTGGGGAACCTTCATTCTCAGGGGCTGGCAGCAGAGACATTTGGCCCCAGGTTAGAGGTCTGAGAATTGTTTCCTAAACAAAGCAGGGAATCTGCCCATGAACACCAGAATCCAGTTGATTTGCAGCGTACAGCTTCTGCTAATTCAAAACCTCCATCAAAGATGTGAAGAAAATTTTTAAAAGGTAGTAAGTGGCTGCCCTGGAATTAGAATCCAGACCTGTTTTACTCTGGACCAAACTCATCTCCACCCTACTCTCTAGTGGGCTGTTTCCCAATGGCTCAACTGTGCAGGTTCAAAGATGTGTAAGGCATTGTCTCTGCCCTTGAAGCATGTTGTCAGTTTTTGTGTTATAATGAAAGTTAAAGGATTTCTCTCTCTCTCTCTCTCTCTTTTTTTTTTTTTTTTAGTAGTATATGAACCTCCAGAAAATGAAGGTGTAGAAATCACAGGTAAGATTTTTCTGTGAGCAGGTGTTTTCTGCAAGTCAGCTCCCCCTGTATTTTGTTGTTTCTCTTACTTGTGGAACAAAGAATGAGTAGTAAAAATGCAAGACATTTTCAAGTCAGTAAGAAAATAATTATCGAAATTAAAGTTAATATTCTAGTATAAATATTATCCATCAGAAGACCCCATTTAAAAAGAGTCAAATTTAGCAATGTGAGTGGGCATGAGTCAATTTAGGAATCTGAGTGAAGGAAGTGAATGTGAGATGTGTCACTGATCAGCAACATGTAATGAATTCTGATTTTATTATTTATTTTAGAAGTAACTGTTCCCCCTGAGGATAATGCTGTAGAAGATTCAAAGGTAATTGTAGAAGGTAAGTTAAATTTATGGAAATAGTTTTACCTTCCATATGAGAATTATGTTTGTTTATTCCAGTATTTATCAAGCATTTCCTACTTGCTGTCTATACAGTGTTCAGGAGCTAGGAGTACAAAAGGGAGGAAGACAGGCAGCGTCCTGTTTTCATTGGGGCTGGCCTTCCAGTGGCCAAACAGATGATAAATAAAGGAATTAAGGATTATGAGAAGTACAAGGATATACTGTAACAGCAAATGATTGATGAGGATGTGAAGGTCTACCCTGAGTAGGAGCAGGTGGCCATCCCCAAGGGGTGATCTGGTGAGAAGGGCATAGCTATGGGCAGAGATGGGTTGAAAGATGAGTCCTTTATGTCATGATTCACCTGAAAAAACAAAAGAATTTTTTTTTTTTGGTAGGGGGGAACTGAAGGGATGGTTCTGAAAAATAAAAATAATTGCATATGTTAAACAGTGGCACTTCAGTACAACTTAGATTTAAATATATTTCTTAGCAGTTTACAGAGTTCTTTCACATATATTATTTCAGTTGCTCCTCGTAGTAGACACCGAGAAAGAGGGAGGGCAGAGATCTTTGTACTTATTTTGCAAATGAAGGCCTGAAGCTGGAGTGAGATCAGGTGACTGGCTAGCCCTAGGTTCCATAGTTGTAAGTGACCAAGGGGATATTCAACCCAGGACTGGGACCCATGGGTGACTCTGCCTGGGGGTGTGAAGTTATGGGGGTATGGGGGTGTCTGCTCTAACAACCATAAGTTGCCAGGGGGAGCATGTAACGGAGAATTTTGTTCATACAATTACTCTTAAAATTCATTTAGGGGCAGCTGATTGTTATCTTTCAGATTAAATGTTACTGCTTTTGAGCTTGGTTAGGCAGAATGGAAAGTGGAATGGTGCAGTTGACTGAAATGGGGGGAGACAGGTATGACGGAATGAGGGAAGCTAAAACTGCTCTCTGCGTTCACTTAGCTGCTGGGAGAGACCCCTGTACAGGTGCTGTGGGCCCTTGTGTACTGGATTGAGTTGAGATTTTTTTCCCACTTTCTGTGACTCAGTTCTCTATGAGGAATGTTAATGTTCTGAAAAATATTGCTGAGTCTGTACATTTATTTGGTGAGAATCAGAAGATGGAAACCCATAGTCGCCGGGAAGAACTTTCTCCAGCCCACCCCACATATGGTTTATAGAAAAGAACTAACATCACAGTATGCAATTTGACTCTACCTTTCTTGGTTTAGAAATGGTTTTTTTCCTAATACTCTTCATTGTTTTGGTATGTTGATAGAGGAGTAGCAGAGACTGCTAAGGGAGTTTCCTGTCCTGGGCAGTGGGACACCCAGCTGTCCACCTGCCGCCTACCCTGCAGCTTCTGTGGTGGGCTCCTCCAGTGCCTGAGTGGACAGTGAGGGGAGCTCATCTCTCACACACGCCAACCTCATTTTCCCTATCTCCTCTTATCTTGGCTGGTTGTTTCAATATATACTTGGATTCCCAGACCAGGAACATGAAACTTGTTTTTGAGTCCTCCTCTCCTTGTCTCTATAACTAATCCAAAGACCTGTTGATAGACTCCCTAAACATTTCTCAAATACATTTTTTTAAATAGCCTGGGTATAGCCCCTTGTCTGGCTCAGCTCCTTCTGATTTTCCTAGATAACAGCAGTAGCCTGTGAGCTAGACATCTTGACTCTGTACTTGTCCTCTTCAAATCCATCTTTCACATGCCATTAGGATGATCTGTCCAAAAGTATCAGCCCTGTGTTTAAACCCTTGTGCTATTCTCCATCCGTGTCACTAGTTACTTTCAGTTACAGATAATAGAAAACCAAACTCAAACTGGCTTAAGCAAAAAAGAGATAGGTACAGATCAGTCAGGCCTTGCAAGGCCTACTATGGTTTTGTATTATATTCTAAGTATGTGTGAATTATGAAAATTCTTAAACAAGATAGAGGATAATCTGATTTTTGTTTTAGATGTAAAAGTGAATTGCTTTCACGTCTAGTTAGAAGATAGATTTAATGGAGCAAGAATGAAAGCAGAGGGAGCCACACTGTTAGGAAATTATTGTGTACTAATCCAAGGAAGTGATTGTGGTAGCCTAAAATAAGATCACGGCAGTGGGAATGGAGGGGTAAGTGTTGAACCTGAGATATATTTTAGAATTAAAATTAATTGAGCTTTCTGATGATTGTGAAGCAAAGATGGGGAATAAAGAGTTTACTTGGTTTAAGTATTTATTACTTAATTTAAGTAACTATTAGATGATGGGGCCATTTATAGAGAAGAAAACTGTTAATAGAATGTATTAGGTTGGTGCAAAAGTAATAGCAAAACCCACAATTGCTTTTGCATCAACTTTGTGGAAGAAACTGGTTTAGAGGAGAAAATCAAAGACTCCAGATCAGACATTTTAACTCTGGGAGTTCTGTGAGATACCCAAGTTGAACTGTCAAATGGAGTGTCAGATATGCCATCCTGAACTAGTTGGGTGAGGTGTTTTTTTTTTTTTTGAGACAGTTTTGCTCTTGTTGCTCAGGCTGGAGTGCAATGGCGCATTCTCGGCTTACCACAACCTCCGCCTCCTGGGTTCAAGCGATTCTCCTGCTCAGCCTCCCAAGTAGCTGGGATTACAGGCACGCGCCACCACACCCGGCTAATATTTTGTATTTTTAGTAGAGACAGGGTTTCACCATGTTGGCCAGGATGGTCTCGATCTCTTGACCTTGTGATCCACCTGTCTCGGCCTCCCAAAGTGCTGAGATTACAGGCGTGAGCCACCATGCCCAGCCCTAGTTGGGTGAATTCTAAGATGAATATAAACATTTGGGAGCCATCATCATGGAGATGGTATTAAATCCATGGAAACTGATGTGATCATTTTGGAGGTGAGTAAAGATAGATTGACATGCCCAGGACTGAGCTCTAAGAATCCAATATTGTGAGGTTGGATGGAAGGTGAATAGCCATTGTTTGAGGGGGAAAACCAGTGAAGAGTAGAGAAGGAAAAATGGGAATATGTTTCATGCTGTTACTGAGTGGCCCAGGAATTTCAGGACTGAGAAATATCAGTTGCATTTGGCCACATGGAGATTTTGGATGATCTTACCAAGCCATTTGAGTAAATTAGGGGAAGTGAAAGCCATACAGAATGAAGTGGGTTCAAAAAGACCTGAAGTAAGGAAAAGTAGGCTATGTAAATAGGTAACCCAGATTGTGCAGATAAAATTAATTCACTGTTTACTTTTTAGAAATCAGGTTATTACATCATACACCAGAAGAAATTTCATTTGAGTTTGTTGAATACATATTTTTTGTAATAAATTTGGATGAAAAATTAACTTGGAATACTACTAATAAGGCTTTCTTAGTATAACATCAGTGATGGAAATAACAAAAGCAACTAATACTTTATGATGTACAATATTTTGAGCCTAGAATAACAAAAGAAATTCTGAGAAAAATATTGGCAAAGTTGATAGTATGTCTCCAAATAATCAAGGACAGAATAAACAGGCAAACCTATTAAAAGCCAGACACAATATAGCTATTCAGTAGTCACTGTACTGCCATTATAAGAAGGAAATATTACCAAATACTAACAGTGGTTAGTGGGAATAGGTGTGATTTTTGTTGATGTTTTCATCTACCTTTTATGTAAAATATTTCTAGATATTCTGGTTTGAGCATGTGTCACTTTTATAATTAGAATCAAGTACATGCAAGACAAAAAATGATTAAAATAGCTCCATAAATTATGTTTTAGAAAATGCTATTAAAAATTCTTTCTTTTGGCCAAAGACTGTTAACAGTTCTTAAGAACCAAAATAAATGTTGACATAATCTTATTACTAGGTTAAGGTAACATTAAATGGGTTGCTAGGTTTCAAGATATTAATATGTGATGTAATTTCATAGAGCAAATCAGATCATATGTCTTTAAATCATTCAGTGGGGAAATCTACCATCTCTTTAGTTGTAATTGCATTGAAGAAACCAAGAAAAAAGACAAGATATTAAATGTTTACATCCACATCTTTGATTAGTCTTAGAATATATTACCTTGAATGTTAGTTTTCTAAAACAACTTTATGAAGGATAGTGTTTGATATTAAAGAAGAAAAAAGATGCTTTCAGTGTCTTTCCACAGCTCTGTTATCAAATCTGATGCAAAATTGTGAGAAAGCATAGGTTTTAGTTCATAGCTCCTTTGCTGGGCAATGCAGTTTGAAGTTAGGTAGGTACTTTAAAACCTACTGTGCTGAACTGTTGAGAAATACACAACATTTTGCTAAGTTGTAGCTGATCGTTCTTTGTTATGAGAGTATAAAAGCCTAATGTTTTTATGGTAATTTCAATTGAATTTTTTTTTAGTCTGTGAAAAGTGTCATCATTACTTAAGTATGGCAATGCGTATTTTAAATACTGATCAGCAATATGTAACAGATTATAACTTTTTTTGTTTATTTTAGAAGTAAGCGTTCCTCCTGTGGAAGAACAACAGGAAGTACCACCAGGTATAATATTTTATATGTTGTATTTTCCTCTCTTCTTATTTTTATAAATTCTGTTAATATTACCAAAAGCTTTATAATGAATCTATGAAGGATAAATATTTTGAGAGAGATTAACCATACCTTAATTTTAAAATTTTCTATATTTTGATCAGTTTAACCAAAGTAATGGTTGCTGAGCTAGAATCTGAGGCGTGTTAATGATCGTATGGTTTTGCCATTATAGATGGTGGTAGTAGTAGGAGTTAGTGTTTTTTAGTTTTCCTCTTTGATTGACAGGCCATTTGGTGGATGATGTGGAATCAGAGTTGCCTTAGGATGAAGGTTGAATAGTGGATAAATTGTGGCATTGCTCCTTTTCCTCTCCTATTCCCCATCTCTCCTGGGAGCCTCTTCGGTGCTTTGCGGCAGTCCAGGCTACCCAGCGCTTCTCAGTCCCCAGGATGTTTCCTTTTAGCTTTACTGCATTACACCCTTTTCTCTGTTTTTGCCGACTTCTCCTCCACCTGACCTCTCTTGTCAGCATTGAATACAAAGAATGGGAACAGCATTTCCGCCAAGGCCTATGATTTCAAATGCATTTTAGAGATGACATAAACTATTTCTGCAACCGGAAGTGAGTTTATAAACCTCCCGTTCTCATAGTGGGAAAGAATGTCCTATCAAAGAGGATTTGGAAAATCCTGCCTCTTTCCCAAGTGTATTTCTTCTCATTTCTGCATTTTATTTTTGTGTCATATTTATTTGTTCAAACTTAACTTGTATTTTCTACATTTTAACATGAATTTTGCAGCAGCGATGTGCATTCCTGTAATGATTTTGGTAGAAGTAATTATGCCTGCCGAAATTCATTAAATTTCGATACTAAATTTCAAATTTCTTTAATAATAAAGAAGGATAAAATAATTGAAGAATGTATTTAGTTATATATGGAATGCCTTAGGTTTTGATAGTTGTCTTGCCATGTACATTAATAATAATACTATGCAGAAACAAGTATTTGATTAAGAGAATGGAATAGTTAGTATTATAATATGAATGAGAAAAGGAGTCCATGGAGAAATTGACCTTTTACGTGATGAGTACTAGGCAGTGTGTATTTGTGTTTAGAAAATTCGGACAGGGCAAGGGCAGCTGATATGCATGTCCTGCTTCTGCTGGTTTCCTTTTTGGTTTTGAATGATGCTTCACAGTGAACTCTGTTTCTATGGAAGAAGCAGGACCAGTTACAGAATTAGGATTTTGATTACTATTCCATGCCTTTAAGAAAATTATTTTATATTCCTAAAATAATTACGTTAATATATTTTGTAATGTAATTATTCCTAAAATAATTACATTAATATATTAATATAAAATAACCACATTAATATATTTCTGGTTATAGTTCATATTTTAAAATATTGACCTAGTTTTTGTAAAGATAGGAAATATAATATTTTTCAGACCAAAAACTTTGATACTTTTATTTTCACATTTTATAACTGAATCCAATAGTTTATTTAGAATGTAAATGTGAAGCACCAAGTGTCTGAGGTGGTGGAATAAGGTGCTTTTTTAGATATTTAAGAACCAAAGCATATACAAGCGAAGATTGGATTAATATGCATAGTTCCTGACATAAGCTCCCAGTAAGTGGTGGCTATGACTATTGTTAGTAATTAAATAGCCTGATCTTAGAGGTAGATCAAGAGAAGCTAAACTCTGGATGTGAGGAACATCAGGCTGTGCGTCTGTCACCCCATTGATCACCAGGGTTGATTTGGTTGATCTGGCTGACTAGGCAGGTGCCCCCTTCCTCCCTCACCATTCCATGAGCTTCCCTCCCAAAGCTGCATGCTTGGCTTGGTTGAAGAGGATGACCATCCCCGATAGAGGAGGACAGGTCTTCATTCAAGGGTATATGAGTAGCTGCGTTCCCCACTAGAACCTCCAAACATGATTAAGAGAAGCTAAATTCTGAAAGACCTGATAGAGAAGTTGTAACCTATAACTTCGTATCATACAAGTTTGAGTGATCCACTGTGTTGTTGTAGTTTGACCTTGCCAGAAGAGGATGTAAGGCTGAGAGTCAGCAATACAGTCATGTGTCACTTAATGGCAGGGATGCAGACTGATTCTGTGTCGTTAGGTGATTTTGTTTTTGTATGAACGTCATGGAGTAGCCTACTATACTTCTAGACCATATGATACAGCATATTGCTTCTAGACTACAAAGCTGTACAGTATGTTACTGTACTGAATGCTGTATGCAGTTATAATGCAATGGTAAGTATTTGTGTATGAAAACGTCTAAAAATAGACAAAGTATGGTAAAAAATAAATACAGTATAAAAGATTAAATTAAAATATATACCTGTATAGGGCACTTCATGAGTAGAGCTTACAGGCCTGGATTTTGCTCTGGGTGAGTCAGCAAGTGAGTTGTGAGTGAATGTGAAAGCCTAGGACATTATTGTACCCTACTGTAGACTATAAACACTGTGTACTTGAACTACACTAAATTTATTAAATTTTTTCTTCAATAATAAACCTTGGCTTCCTGTAACTTTTTAACTTCGTAAACCTAATTTTAAAAATGTTTTTGATGATTCTCTACTCAAAATTAGTCTAAAACACAAACATACAGCCATACAAAAATATTTTTATGTCCTTATTTTATAAGCATTTTTAATTTAATTTTATTTTTTAACTTTTTCAAATTTTTTGTTAAAAACTAAGACACAAACAGATATATCAGCCTAGGCCTGCACAGGGTCAGGATTATCAATATCACTGTCTTCCACCTCCACGTCTTGTCCCACTGAAAGGTCTTCAGGTGTAATAAGAGGCATAGAGCTGTCGTCTCCTGTGATAACAATGACTTCTTCTGGAATACCTCCAGAAGAACCACCTGAGGCTGTTTTACATTTAACTTTTTTAAAAATAAGAGTATAGTTTAAAAGAACCGTAAGAGTATAGAAGAGTAAAACCAATAACATAGTCCTTATTATCATTGTCATGTATTATGTATTGTGCGTAATTGTATAGACTGTGCTTCAATACAGCTGGCAGCGCAGCATATTCGTTTACACCAGCATCACCACACACACATGAGTAATATGTTGTGGTGGAACGTCATGAAAGCTAAGATGCAGCCAGGCAACAGGACTTTTCATTATCGAATGGGACCGCCAACATATATTTGGTCTAGCCAAACATTGCTACATGACATGTAACTGTATTTTTAACCATTGCACTTGGTTTTCTTATTTTCTATAAGTCTTAAGTCCTACTCTGAAGGCATCTTGCCTTCTTTCTTGCATATTTATAAATTTCTAAGTGCTGTGGAGGGGGATTCTTGGTGAGCATGTGGAAGCTCAAGCCTAAGATTTGATTTTTCTGGTTTTACAGGCCAATCAGTTTGAATATTAGGTTTTTAAGATTAATTTTGGAATTTCTCATCCATTAGGAGGTTTTCACCTTTCTCCTCAAGCTCATATTTTTTACTTGAAATATCATACAGCGTATTTGTAGCATGAATATACACAACACAAATTGAAAGACTTATAAAGGAATTACTTATGAAAGCTCATTGGAGTAAAATTTCCTCTCAAACAATATGTTAGATCATATGACTGAGTCTATTAACTATTTTTCTGTTATACCTGCCAGAAAAGAATTGTAAAAGTTAGTTTATGTTTTGTGTCATCATGTTATTCACAACGGAAGTATGTGAACATCATGGTTTCTGGGCAATTCTGCCGCTCCTCCCTTTGAAAATGGAGATACCACTTGCAGCCCATCTACTGCTGAGTGTTGTAACTGTGGTAATGGTTTCACTCTGTTGCATCCATCCAGACCTTTCACTCAGGCCTCCCCATCACCCAGCATTTATTAACATTTATCCATGAGGCCTATAACCAGTTTTAGGATAGCAACACCAGAGGTCTGAGGCAAGAGTAGAAATCGACTTTATATTCTTAGTAGCTAATGTTCCATACATGCTTTATATACCACAGCAGTTGCTGTGGTATATATATATATATATATATATATATATATATATATATATATATATGTGTGTGTGTATATATATATATGTGTGTGTGTATATATATATATATATATATATATAGAGAGAGAGAGAGAGAGAGAGAGAGAGAGAGAGAGAGAGAGAGCGCGCGCGCGCAACTGCTGTGGTATAGGCTCTGTGCTGGCCAGTGAAGATACATGATTGACAATGTTGTGCTGGCTTGGTTCACAATCCTGTGGATACATGGTGGAGTAAAATAAGTACAATTAATGTCTCAGAGCTGTACACAGCAACATACAGAAGGAGATATAACTCACCCAGCTTCAGAGGGATGGGATAGTAGAGAATGAGGTTAGCCTCCCAGATGTCCTTGTGCTAGTTTTAGCTGTTTTGAGGTACTGATGAAAGCTCCAGGAGCTGGCAGGAGGAGAGCAGAGGAAGCTAGAGCTTACAAAGCACAAAGGCCATGGCACCCTGCCAGATAGGGGTGAAAGAGGACAGGGGAAAAGTAGGCAAGTGTCTCTTCTCAGAGGATCTTATATACTGTGTTTGAAAGTTTTGGTCTGCTGGGCACAGTGGTTCACTCCTGTAATGCCAGCGCTTTGGGATGCAGAGGTGGGAGGATTGCTTGAGCTCAGGAGTTTGAGATCAGCCTGGGTAACCCCAAATCTACAAAAAAAAAAAAAAAAAGAAAAAAGAAATAAAATTAGCCTGGCTTGGTGCCATGGGCCTGTAGTCTCAGCTACTCAGGAGGCTGAGGTGGAAGGATCCTTTGAGTCCAGGAGGTCGAAGCTGCAGTAAGCTGTGATCGCACCACTGCGCTTTAGCCTGGGCGACAGAGTGAGACCCTGTCTCAAAGTTTAGGTCTGTGCCTAAAAATTACAAGAAGCCACTGAAAAAAATCCAGGTAGAGGAGTTACATGATTGAATCTCAGTTTGAAAAGAGTCTAGCAAGGAGGTTTAGACTAGTAAGGGGCAGCTACCGTAG